GGTGGAGTCTCACTCTGTTGCCAGGCTGGAGTGCAGTGGCATGATCTCAGCTCACTGCAACCTCCACCTCCCGAGTTCAAGCAATTCTCCTGCCTCAGCCTCCTAAGTAGCTGGGACTACAGGTGCATGCCACCACACCCAGCTAATTTTTGTATTTTTACTAGAGACAGGGTTTCACCATGTTGGCCAGGATGGTCTCAATATCTTGAACTCATGATCCTCCTGCCTCAGCCTCTCAAAGTGCTGAGATTACAGGCATGAGCCACCACGCCCAGCCTGGCATTCTGCTTTTTGTGGATACTCTTGTGAAGTTGAGAGACCAAATTTAATGTTGCCTACATGAGTACCTGAAAAACTGCAAAGTGTTTAGTGGCCACAAACTTTTAGTGTTGCTACCTGTAGAAACATCTACTATTGCCAAGTTATTTCATAGAAATGCTTGGTGAAATTAAAAAAAAATACTATGATCTTCCAGAAGCCTGCAGGTTGATAGCTTTCCACAGAGGTAGCTTTTCATCCCCTAGGTATCTTCTCTGCAAACATTAAGTAAGGGAACTCTGGGAACCTTGAGTCAGTGAAAAAGCAGAACTGCAAGCCCTCTACAAATGCTGTTATTTTCTCTCTTTGCTTAGTGAGATGCCCAATACATCAGGAAAGGGGTGAAGCCATCCCACCTCTCATAATCATGAGTCATAAACAGGTAGCAGGCAGGGATGCATAAAATAAGACTGGTTTTGATTTTGCCACGGGCCATTGGGGGTGGTTAGGTTCTGAGTCACCCTCCCACTGGTTTCCAGTTTGCTGAGGTTGTGTTCTTGAATCACTTTCCATGCCGAAGCTACCAAATTACCTATCACTTTACTCAAAGTTCCACTCATGGAAGTAATACCCAACTCAGCTAAGTTTCATTTTCTAAAGCCCTTTGCCCTTCAACCTTCCCTTGCTCCCTCCCATATCTAGGAAGAACATCAGAAACCTGGTGGGAACACCCAGTCTAGACCTAGCTTCTAAACTGTAGTGTACGATGCACACAGAAGGCTTCAGACCACCCACCACATGGAACTGGTTCTTGAGTTCATTGTAGAACTCTACTCTGTCAGTGGTTTTCAATCCTGGCTACATATTAGAATCATCTATGGAGTGCATAAACAATATGCTGACACCTGGCCCTTCACCCCAAGATGCTATTTAGTTGGTCTGGATGGGACCTGGGCATGGGGACTTCTTAATGTTCCCAGGTGAGCCTGACCTGCAGTCATGAGAAGCACCGCCTTCACTGAATACCCAGAGAACATGTTTCTTTCAGTTGTCAGGATGGAAGCCTTCTTTTTTCTGAAACAACTGATGTGCTCATCCTCACGAAAGTGAATCTTTTGAATGGTTTCTTTCCATTTAAAAGTAGGATTCCAGAAAGCTTAGACCCTGTTTATGACCTAATGCTAGGAATCGGGGAGGCCGATTTAGCCTGTGCGTCTGCATATTAATATTTGCTCTGGTATGCTCCATCTGTGCTAGCTCTACTTCATGACTCTGGTTTTATTCTGCTTTCTTAAACGTTAAAAAAGGCAATGTATTAAATTTATATGATTTTAGAATTTTCAAATATTTTATAAATGAGGTAAAATAAAAGCAAATAAACAACTATGTCAATGCTGCTATTGCTAAATTTCATTTTCCTCATCAATAAAATTTAGGGAGCATCAATGTCAGGACGATAATGGTGAGCATCAAGTAAGAGTACACATGTGACAGTGCTTAGTAAACTGTGTTGTACAATATAGTGTTTATTATTATTTTTAGAAAGGTGTGTGTTTACGTGCATGTGTGCATGTGTGTGTGTGCACATGTGTGCATTTGTATGTGTGTGTGTCAAAGTAGGTAATCTGTCATCTTTGGGAAATAAACACTTTAAGGTCAGGAATTACATTGCCCTTGACTCACAGCATATGGCTATTTAAGGAGTAAACAACCCAATCCGTCAGCTCGGGGCAGAAATGTCACCACTACAACTTGTATGACTTGAGGTATCCTTTGACAAACAAATAGCTTTCAGATATTTCAAATTAATGTCCTTGTTTGGTTCAGCTAAAGGGCAATGAATCCAATTCATCAAGAGTCTGAAGTAGACGACAGGGATGGAAGTGACACCTAAGGCTACCCACCTCAGGATGAACACACACCTAAGACTTAGGGACTTCACAAAGTTAGTGCTAAAGCACAGTGATTTGCAGCTTAACCTCAAACAAATAATTTCCCTTCCGCAAAATGGGGTTAGCCTGGCCAAGTCTGTGCCTGCTGGGGAGAGGGTGATTTAAGAGCCCTTGAGAAAAACATCATCATTATTAATGGTCTGGCAATAGCAATGTTATTATAGTACAACCAGATCCCACAGGGCAGAGGAGGATGCTGAAAGGCTGAAGTATGAAAAAACTTATTGGCCATTTTCGATCTCTCTGTTTTAGCATATTGTAAATGACTGCCTTTCTGATATCTACAGACCTCTGATCATTATTGCTGAACATATCTGCCAACATCTTCTTTGTGCTCCATCTGGGCTGGGGCAGAGGGCAACAAGCCATTGCCTGAAGCCTCAGAATAAATCATAATTTTTGCCCCTTTACAGCTTTGAAGAGAGGGCATCGATAAAAGTACAAGTTCTGCTTTAGGCTGTGAGATTACTGAAAGAGTCTGGAGGGCTTAAGTTACTGCTGTCACGTACATTTAGCAAAACAGAAAAAAATGAAGAGTCTGGAGGGCTTAACCCCACCTCCCCCCACCACATACACATACCTCCCGAAGAGTTATCGTCCAATAGTATATAAATTAGAGTTGAATATTCAGAGTATCAGAGTATTTAATGTTATTTTCCTCCACAACACAACCACCATCAATACTAGGTTTGCTTTTGTGTGACTTGAAGATATCTGTCCATCACAAGGAACAATGATTAAAAACAAGAGCTGGAGGATCCAAGATGGCCGTTTAGGAACAGCTCAGGATTGCAGCTCCCAGTGAAAGCACAGAGGGTGAGTGGGCGCCGCATTTTTATTGCCCGCAGACTAGGAAATTCCCAGGCAGAGGAGCTCCGCAGGTCACCAGCGCGGCTGTTTCGGCCAGCGCGGCTGTGCCGGCCGGCGCCGCTGCTTTGCCCCGCGCGGCTGCTTTGTCGGCGCCCCGGAGCCGTGGTTCTCCGTACAAAATACACCGGTCCGTGCCTTTTTGGCTGGCGATTGGAGCCACGGGAAGTCGCCCATTC